TGTATGTTTGTGCCCACAGAGTAAAACGTGATCTCCTTGGGCAAATTAATTTAGCCCCTTTTCAGTTGGATTTGGAAGTTGGGAAATTATTATAAACTTTGAAGCAGCTTAACACATTATTTCATTCTCTCATAAACATATCATATAAGCAACTTCTCATTATATTTGCATGCTGCAATTGAGGGCTCGAGGCTATAGAAATGAGATTAGGGTTGCCTGTGAGCCATAGTTGCTATTCCTACTTTGCTGGATGAGCTAGGTTCACACATGACACTGATCCATATTATTTTCCTTGTTTTTGCCTTAGTTTGTTGTGTGAACCTCTACTACAATTTATAAATCATGATTTATAGCTTAGTGTTATATGTAGACCCCGCCAATGAGGCTTAGGCAATATACCATGATCAAAGTAAACCAGGGAATAATTTCATATCTGAACCAGACCAGATTCTAACATGCCATCCAGTGTTTCCAAGTGGCTAAATAGAGAACGGATATCTTTTGTGCAGTGGAAGAATTAGCAACACACGTTCTTAAATATTAGAGCACATCCTTTTACCTAATAAGCTATTGATGTACATATCCCAACCTATCATTGGCTTCCTAATAGGACGGTTGTATTGTTTATATGTTTTTGTTTCCTTCATTCTACTTATATTTCACTAACATATCTTCACTTTGATTCAAACTCATCTGTTTTGGGGAAAACAGCTGTGCATTTCTTAATCATTTGTTCATAGTGGAGTCTATACCTCTTTTTGTTGGCTTTTCCTTTTTCGTTGCAAAAGGAAATATCACATCTTTGCACAGCTCTTATTCGGACATTTTTCCTGATGTCCAAGTAAAATTGACTTCCCTCTAACATAAACCCATTATTTCTTGTCTTGAGGAACACTTCTGAAAATCCCGCTTTATCTTCTGCACAACAGCCATTCAGCTACTCAAAGAAGACTGTTGTGTTTTTCTGAAGACTGTTCTAGGCTGCACATCTCTAATGCCTCAAACTTTGTGTACGTTTTTCCTTCTAGGTTCCTATCAGGCAATTGCAACACACTATCATGCAACATTGATCATACAATATTGGAATTCAACATGCTAGCACAAGCAATAGAACATAGTCAAATTAGAGTCTTGGATTTTAAAAGAGCTAATTTCATTAAACTTAGAGCTTGGGAAGGATTCCATGGAATCCTCAAGGGGAAAACAACTCAAGAAGTTTGGGAAATTTTGAAAAGTGAGATTATAAAAACCCAGTCTAGCACAATACCAACAAAGAAGAAAACCAACAGCTCTCAAAAGAAACCAGCATGGCTGCATAAAGAACTCTGATAAATTGAAAGACAAAAAGGACAAGTATAAAAAAGTGGAAAGAGGGGCACATAACTAAAGCAGAATATCAGCAAATAGCCCAAGACTACAAGATGGAAGTGAGGAAAGCTAAGGCTCAAAATGAAATAAGGCTTGCGACAAACGTCAAAAATAACAAAAAAAGAGCTTCTTTCAACATGTAAAAAACAAGAAAAAGGTTAAGGAAATGATTGGTCCATTAGTGGGAGAAAGTGGCAAGAAGTTGACAAGGAACAGGGAGAAAGCAGAACTTATTTTTTGCATCCATCTTTACACAAAGGGAAAAAACAGTCCAACAGTCCAAAAAACAGTATCGTAAAAAACAGATTAGAAACACAAATTAAGATAGGCAAGAAAATGGTAAGTGAGCACCTGTCCACCCTAGACAAACCCAAGGTTCTGGCAGATGTGATCTCAGAACCACTGAACTATATCTTTCAAAGATCCTGGAGCACTGGGGAACTACCAGAGGACTGGAAAAGAACTGATGTAGTTCCCATCTTCAAAAAGGAAAAAAAATGGATTCAAGAAACTACAGACCTATCAGCCTGACCTCAATACCTGGGAAGATTATGGAAAAGATAATCAAACAACGAATCAGTGAACACCTAGAGACAAACAAAGTCATTACCAGTAGTAGTAACCATGAGAGGGGTGATTAGGGGACTGGAGGCTAAAAATATAAAGAACGGTTGTTGGAATTGGGTATGTCTAGTTTAATGAAGCGAAGGACAAGGGGTGACATGATAGCAGTGTTCCAATCTCTCAGGGGCTGCCACAAAGAAAAGGGAGTCAAGCTATTCTCCAAAGCACCTGAAGGCAGGATAAGAAACAATGGATGGAAACTAATCAAAGAGAGAAGCAACCTAGAACTAAGGAGAAATTTCCTGACAGTTAGAACAATTAATCAATGGAACAACTTGCCTCCAGAAATTGTGAATTCTCCAACTCTGGAAATTTTTAAGAAAAGACTGACTGGACAACCATTTGTTTGAAATGGTATAGGGTTTCCTACCTGAGCAGGGGGTTGGACTAGAAGATCTCCAAGGTCCCTTCCAACTTTATTATTATTGTTGTTGTTGTTGTTGTTGCTGCTGTTGTTAAGAAAATCTGAATGTATAGCTTACTTTGCCTTTGGAGTGTATTTAAAGTTCCCTGCTAGTGTGTCTTTTAAGGTCTACAATTTTTATTGGACTGTTTGTGCTCAGAGGACCGCAAAGTCATCAGAGGACGTGAATTGTCTTTTTTTCATCACTGTCCTCCTTTCTACTGGATTCCCAATGGATCCAGAGAGAGTGAGAATCGTAACAGACATCCAGGCATTCTCCTACCCCACTTCACTTTCCGTTGTCTGATGTTTCCCCAGGATTGTACATTTGATTGTGAACCACCAGAGCTGAGACCTACCTTACTGTAAAAAGTAAAATGATGGTATTGGATGTATACAAGTAAATAGACAGTCAGGATCATGTTTTATTGTTTCACCACAATAAGGTGCTTTTATCCAATCTTTGAGCAAACAGGGTTTTCTTTAGTTAAAGTACAGAACATTCTGTAAATTCATCATCAGTTTTGATCCTGAGAAATATTTGACTTGGGCCTTTGGCCTATAACAGTTAGGCATGGATCATCATTCTTGAAAAAAGTTCTCCTCATTCTGGTTTGAGGGAAACACAACAAAGAAGTTACCTTAATTTCCACATCAATTATAGATGGAGAGCACAATCCTACACACCAATCTCTTCCAACCTATTGTCTTTCCTATGTGTTAGATTAGGACTCCCATCATCCAAAGCAACCATAGCTAAGCTAGTTGACATTAATAAGTAATGGCTGTTAATACCTTTTTCTGTACAACAGACCCAATTACAGAAAAGAATTTCTGAGACACACCCTGGGTGGCTAAAAGGGAAAGATTATACATTTATCCTACTTCAGAAACTTCATCAAACCAGGGTAAAAATTATGGTAAGGAATTGTTTTTCTGAGTAGGCAGAGTTTTTTTGGTAAATGCTACCTGAGTGTACTGTAGCTTCTTGTTGTTAAATATAACCTGAAAACTGAATGGACCTTTTCCTGGTTCCACACTAGATTATTTAACACTTGGGAGAGATGGTTTTGTCTTTTGTATTGCTGACTCTTTCTACTTGACCCTGGACTCAAGCAGGCCATTCTGCTTCAACCGTATCTTCATGAAAGACCAAAGGAAGTAGTGAACATCTACAACTAATCTACAACTAATTTTGTTTCTCAGGCTAGGTTTACACATAGCACCACTAACCAATGGTTCATGGTTGAACTTGCAGAAGTAACCACAATTGTTGGGATTATACAACCAAATGAAATGGCTGTGTCCATACAATATATTAAGCCAGATCAGTCTTGAAGACCTGGTGC